CTAAATGACTTAAATGAACAAAAATAAATATGAAGTATAAAAAAAATATGTACACCGAATTATACAACACTACACATGTACAATAAGTATTTTTGTCATTCATATACAACACTACACATGTACAATACTACACATGTACAACCGAATTGTACAACACTACACATGTACAACACTACACATGTACAATAAACTATGTACACAAGTATTTTTGTCATTCATATGTACAACACTACACATATACATCAGATTCACATGTATATCTCGTTAATTTGTTAGATCGATTTGCAATTTGAAATATTTTACACAATTCACATGTACACCTAATTGTACAATACACAAATAATGACAATCAATGATTTACACAATTATACAAACACATATATGCACAAAATCCATCTACATGTATCCTAAAATAAATTAAATGAACTAAATTCAAATACTAAAAATCATTAAAATTAGTAATTATGAATAACACACGTAATTATGTGCACATCAGTTTTCATATACACTATCTTTAGTTTGCTTGATTTATTTTGTTATTTATTTTGACATTTTGAGTAAGCAACATTCAGTCCATCTATATGTGAATAGTGACCCCACATATTCATATTCTATGTACTTGTGTACACGACATGGAATGTACAAAAATCACATTGTATAAAAGGCAACAATCTTATCGGCATTAAAACATGCTCCCATATTGAAACAAATCAGTGGGATGAGATTTGCAGAAAATATTTCACAGGCGCACATGGCTATGAAATGAAAGCTTGATCTCCAAGCTTTCAGTTCGTTTTCCTCCACAACAATTGATTCTGGTCCGTCAATTTTCCTGCACGACAATTTCCCCCCAATATTCTTTAAACATGAAGATTTCTCTTTAAGATCACCTTTAGTTTGTGTACATGTGAATTATTGTTTATGTATATGAGGATAGTGAAATTAGATAACATTCATGTATTATTGTACAAGTTAATTTGTGTACATGTGAATCATTATAAATGTGGATAATAAAATATTTGTGTACGTGCTATATATACAAGCTACATCAACATGAGTGGACTATGGATCAGCAGCTGATACTTAGATATCCGTCGACATTTTTATAAAACTCATCTTGGCTCATATTCTAGATATTCCCTACCCGACAAATATGTTTTCTAGAAATTAGAAAATAAAAACACAATTTTGATGGAAATTAATTTTGTTTTAAGAAATTAAGGTTTTAAGAAAATTCTTCTTCAATAAAGATTTTTTTTTTTGAATATTCATTGTATTCTTAATATGCGTGAATATATTATAGATGACTGGTATAAATGATTTAAATGAAGTTCCAAATTTTCATTTTTTTATCATATATGATTACTTAAGCAATGCTTACATGTACACATGTGATTTATCTTCCATTTTCTGAGAAACTATACTAAATAAAATTAGAATCATCATCATAACTTGAGCAATGTACAAATAAATTAGTGTACATATTTCTTGTAAACACGTATTATTCTATGTTGGAAAGTTTACATGTTTAATGTTTATGTATACGAGGATAATAAAATTTTATGGTATTTATGTATTATTGTACAATTTGATTTGTGTACATGTGAATAATAAACAATTTGTGTACGTGGTATAGTGTACACATCAAATGGTTTCAAAATAAATATTTTAATATGCGTGAATATTTTAGAAAATCATGTTTTCAGAACGGAGTGAGTGATTTGCACTTTTTGTTAAAATAGATATTTTGTATAGTGTGTACATGTCAATCATTGCACAAATTACCTGGTGTACAGGAGATGAATGAACATGTGGATAGTGAATTTTTTTTAATTTTGTGTACATAATATAATATACATATGATTACATACATATATTGTTACAACAGCATACACAATAAATGAATTATACCCCATGAGAAAAGGGATGTGCTTATATTTGCATATAACAAATGTTAAGATGTATTATTTTTTTTATTGCATTATAGGACAGTTACTGTTCGTAAGGTAGTTTTTATGTGACTAATAACTACAAAAAGTTATTAGTCACATAAAAACTACCTTACGAACAGTAACTGCCCTATAGTGCAATAAAAACTTATAAAATGTTCTATAGTGTAAACCTTTTTTTCTAATGTGTGCTATTAGTATGAATTGGTAAGTTTTGGGTAAAGGACCCTAAAAACCCAACAACATTAAATCTCTAACATCTTAAAAGCCCAATAACATTAAATCCATTAAGAAAAAAATTTATCATTAAATTCATGTGTACTAGTGGTTCATTTCTTTGCGTGAACGTTGCTAACAAGTAATATGTCCCTAATCATTTATCATTTATTTGTTTCTAACAGCAAGTTTAATTGATATGACCATGCATATTTTTGTTCGTTAGTTATGGATTTACGGGTGAATGTCGTATTTCTGATAACTTATTTAATACAGATGAGATAGATAGGATGGATCAGAATCGTAATTTCACTATTCGTATTAAGATATGTGGTTTCCGAATATCTGGTAGTTGAATACCAATTTAAATGTTTGAATATCTACTATAGATTTAGATTAGTAAAAATAAATTAAAATTAAAACATTAAATCAAAATATATATAAATTTGAAATTTATAAAATATTATACAAAATTACATATATGTGTATATATATATCATACAATAAAAATGTTAATATAATATTATAAAGTGAGTTATATATAAATATTAATGCAATAAAATAATTAATGATAAAGCAAACATTTTATAAAATTAAATAAAAGTAAAAATAAAAGATGTCTTTTCGTGAACGTCAATCTAATTAACCTCCTTTATTCAATCGACGATTCCGCTATGTAGAGACAAACAATTAGAAGGATTTGTTGATTCAAAACAAATAAGAGAAGAAGCCTAGACCAGACTCTGCTATCCACTCGCCTCTATCTCCTCCATCTCCTTCACTGAACTCATTTTGTCATCTTCAAAATAGTTTTTGACTGCTGTCCACAACGCAGCCTTAAATTGATGTCCTTAACACAGTCTTTGAAACCAACATGTGAGTCTTTTTTTTTTCCGTCAATTTTTGTTATCATTAATCAAATGGGCCAAACCCAAACGGGTCAACAACCAAATACACTAAAGTACCAACCAAAAAGGCCCACCGACAAAACGGACCACTACAAAGGCGACCGAATCCCAAATAACTTAAATGGCCTAAGGCCCAATCAACAAAGACACACCATTGACCTAAACGCGCGTCAAGGAGGCGGGGGCATGGACACGTGTGAAAATCTGGACCATCCGCACGACACGCGACGCCCACCTCGACTTGAACGCCATCTCCTCGCAAGGCCGCCGCAACTACCCACCGACACCGCGTTCCACCGGAGCTCCGCGACTGCATAGCCTCCATGAACCATAGCCATTCTAAGCCGCCTCTATGTCTTCGCGCCAGAGGGATCAATCATTTGAAACGAGATCTCCTCCGCCTATGAACCACCAAAAACCCTAGACAAGTGAGCTGAGAACCACCGCAATCCTCTTCTTAAACATCATCATTGTCGCCGGAGAGCTTCATCGTCAAACGAGATCTCCTCCGCTACGACCCACGAGCCCAAATCTGACTCCAAGAACCACCCCTTACTTAATAACCTCATACCATTAACCAACCCAAAGAATATCGGGTACCAAAACGGCAGCGTAGAGCTTTGTAAGCCTCCACTCTCCGTGACCAAAAGCCGGCGAAAAGGGAGCTGACTAAGCCTCCCCTTCCCGGAAGCTTGAGCGACAGCGGTGGATCTGAGAAAGCCTCCACCCCCCGCAGAAAGACCGGCGACGATGGATCTAGGGTAGCCTCCATCTCCCGGGGAATACCAACTGGACATGTAAGCCACTCCGTCTCCACCGAGATCCTCCAAACAACCGCGCCGTTACTCCAAGGCAAACCACCGTATGAGGATGATCGTGGTCTCAGAGCTCCGACAAGACAGTCATCGACGAGACTATGAAGACGAAGCGGAGAGGAACAACAATAAGGAAAGAAAAAGTTCTCCGGCGACGGCACGGACGCTCACGCGCCGGCCGTACGCTGGAGTAGATAGAAAACTCTCTTCTCTCTTCTCGACATGTGAGTCATTAAAGACTTAAAAAATTAATTATACCATTTCTATATTGTCCCTCCCAAAAAAAAAAAGATAATTACAATGTTGTGTCGCCCTATATCATTTTATCGTCATGGATCTAGAAAGGAAGACCTAGAGTACCTACCCCATATCTAAACCCTTCAATTTTAAGTATGAAAAAGCTAAAATCGCACATCTTTATCTTTTAAGATCGTCTCTGAAGAAATTAAAGACACATAAAACATATAATGATTGAGGAAAAAAAAAAAAAAAAGGAAAAAATTACTGAAATCTTTCACAACGATAATAGTCAAAATTAACCATTCAGAAAAAAAAAAAAATTTCCAGAAATTACTTTAAAACAAAAATGTTTAATAGAGAGTAGAGAGAGAAAACCAAAGTTTTTCTTATTTTTTTTTTGCTTTTACCAATTTTTAGATGTTTAATGATTAGTATTTTTATTACAATGAGGTTATGGTTTAATTTGAAAATTGGTTCATGTCCATATTTATTCAATTATTTAATTTTCATAAAAACTCGGAATTAAAAAAAAAAAGAAACAATCTGGACAAATATTTTTTAGGAAAAAAGAATCTGACTAGTTTGGAAATTATCTTTCTACATATTTTTCCATGTATCTAATACTAAATATAATTATTTATTTCCTTTTTGTGCTTGCTAAATAAGGGTAGAATTTCAAAATATTAGAAACGTTACGCCATCAAATACGAACTCATTATTATTATTAACATTATTATATTTTTGTCGGCATTATTCCAGAGTCGTTGAGGGCCGCGAATTACACGCAATTAATTAATAAAAAAAGTAAAAAACCTTGTATATATATATATAAGTAGTCTAAAATAAAATAGGCCACAATAATAAATAGATAACAGAAAGAGAGGCACAGTTGTTTGTATCCTTTGTTCTTAGGGTTCTTATTAGCCACGCAAATCCTCGCGCCGCCTCCCTCTCTCTTTTTCTCTCACAGATCCGTATTCGAATCCTTCTTCGACTCTCAAAAGTGTTCTTGTTAATAGCGAAACCTGTAGATCTAACGAATCGTATTGATCACCATCGTCTGTTTTGAATCTGATAAACGGATAATCAAATTACCTGAAAAAAAATAAATTCGATTTTTCTTGTGTTTACTGGGATATTATAGATCTTTGGGATTATTTTTTTGAATATTATGAAGAGATCGAAGAAATCGAGGGTTTCATGGCCATCAGGTCCTAATCTTTGTCAGGTATAATAATAGTATGGGTCGATATATTTTTTTTTTTTAATTCCTTCTTGTTTGTGATGAATCGTTACTGGATCTAAAAATTGTGCAAGATTGAATCCTAAAATTGACTGAATCGTTATTGGATCTAAAAATTGTGCAAGATTGAATCCAAATCGGTATTTATGATTAAATTCCTTATGAATCTGGAGTTGATGTGATTTTTGAATTAACGGTTAATTTAATCCTTTTTGGTAAAATAAACGTAATTTAGAATATGAAAGATTTAAGATAGTTCAAAGAAACTTTGTAAAGTGGACTTTAATCTTGAAGATAAAGTTTACTCAATTAAGATAATGACAAGAGATGCACGTATGTTACATGATTATGATGATGATCCATTTAAATAAAAACAGTTGACTTGGTTAAATTTGATCCATTTATTTTAGACAGAAAGTATGATATTTGATTTACATTTTTTTTTTGGGTCAAAGATGAATTTGATTTAAATTTGGTGAATGTATCTTTTGCAAGAATGAAGATGGCTCTGTTAAAATATGGGATTTGATTGTTCATCTTAGATATTAGATTCCCAGGCGAAGATGTCAGGTTCTAACAATGTAGGATTTGATTTGAGCAGGTTAAGATGTTTCGAACAGAGGACTGTCCTGCTAAAGTTGCATCTCAGCCACAACGTCTTAGCTACCCTAAGCAATCATCCGGGAAACGTCAAGTGCCAGATCTTCCACCTGGTTTTGAAGGGAATCACTATGCAGAGAAGATTAGTGTCTCAACCATTCCTCGGATCAAATGGAAACGACCTGCAAAGGTAGTCATTATATACAATCTAGAGATTTGGAAAAAGCCCTTTTGAAAAGCTTTTATATTAAAGTGTCTGTCTTTTGGGTTTAAACAGTTTATGGTCAGTGATGCTTGGTTAATGGGAGATGGTGGGGAGAGCACTGAAAGGAGAACTGAAAACTTGAGGATTTCTAAAGTGTTGGAAGCCATGTATCCTCATCGCTCTACCATCCCTTCTCGGTACTTGTTTGCCTTCTTTCTTACTCTTTATAGGTTATTCAATCATGTATAGCTGTCTTCTTATCCTCTGTTTTTTTTTCACGCAGACCCTCTGTTTCACCGGTTGTTGAAGCTGAAAGCTTTGATGACAGCAAAACTCCTGTCATTCGTCTCACCCCTATCGAGGACGAGTCTGAATCTTCTGAGGAATCATCCAACACTTCTCTTGAGTCCAACATTACCGCAAACAAGCAGAGTTCGTTGGAGACGAAACCTCCCTGTTCAATCCAACAACTGGCTTCTGGTCTTGCACCAGAGTTGAGCCTGGCTGCTTCTGCAGCTCTTGCTGCACTGATGAAAACCAAGGAACACGGGAGTATGGTTGATCCTGATCTACTTATCCAATTCCTCAAGGATCCGGAAATGATCAAGAATCTGATCACTGACTCAACAGGTAAATCTTCTGAAACTAAGAATCAGCCCCTTGAGGCTAATAACACCAACCCTACTAGGTTTGTTCCGGAACTTGTCTCTGCCTTACCCATGACAAAGCCACAACCAACAATAATACCTCAAAAACAGAGTGTTGCTCCTTCTCAACTTTTTACTATGCCTGAGCAGAGACGAGCGTCTCCACCTAAGCCTGAGCAGAGACGAGTGTCCCCACCTAGGCCTGAACAGAGACGAGTGTCCCCACCTAAGCCTGTAAACCAAACCATATCCCAACTGAATCAAGTCAATGAAAACCTACCAATGTCTGTTCAACCATGTGTTAGTATAGCTAAACAACCATCTCTCCAAGCTCGGCTCCCGTCTAGTTCTCTACCAATGAACGTTAACCGCCAGAGACCTCCACAAGTTTTCTCTGAACCAAAAGTAACAATGAATCCTCAACCCCAACACAATTCTGCATACCGCACTCCTGAAATGAACTATGTTCAAGCACCAGTTGGATTTGGAAGGGGTCCTCAAACTGGTTTCAACACTTATCCAATGAACTTAAACCGGACTGATGTCAGTGGTAGAGTTAACCCGGTAGTACAACCAAGGAAGAGTGATGACTATTTCAAGAACCTGATAAGGCAACATGGTACTGTGAATCATGAAACAACTAACCAATACCATTCACAAACTGGAAAATTCAATGGACGGATTGATCATAATAAGGTTCAGAAACAGTGTATGTACTATGGCACTCCGAGAGGTTGCCAGATGTGTGATAGTTGCGTCCATGTGCATGACCGATTCAGACCTAGTTTTGAGGCTGAGGCTCCAATGGCTAAGAGGTTGAAGTTTGGAAGGTATGATAGAAATGGTTTTTGAACATAAACAATTCTGACTCTTGATTCATTACAAATCACAAAGTAGAATTTGTCTTTAGTAAAACAAAAACCTGAGGTGATTACAATTTCAAATTCGATTAATTTTTCTTTTTGAAAAAAGGCTTAAATTTGATTAATTTTCTGCAGCAATTTGTTTCTAAGTTAATTGAGCAAAATATCATTTTAGAGCATCAAAATGACCAGAACCAATTTCAATGCCATAATTCAAATCCTAAGCTAACTTTGTAGCATCAATGAAAATCGAAATTGGTCGTCCTAAAATAAAAATAAATAAATAAATCATAACTGTATTCTTTAAAGGTTGATTCAATAGAAAGTTCATAAGCATTAGACACCAAAAGATATATAAAATGAAAAACAACCAAGGTCTTAACTGTTAACGATTTAATTAAAAAAAAAAAACAGCAAAACAAAATCATAGAAATGACAGAAGAGTCTGTCACAAGTTAAGTCTAGATTGCCTTGGCTGCTGATACGGCAGCTTGACCTCTAAGACGACCAGTTCTTCTCGCAGCAATGAGACCAACCTTGCCACCAGCTGATTTGTCGCGTTTGACCGTACTGGCGTGACCAATGTGTTGGTGGTTTCCTCCACCATGAGGATGCTCGACAGGGTTCATAGCCACACCACGAACTATAGGCCAGCAGTTTCTCTTCACGCGGTACTTGTGGTATGCGTTACCTGCCTTGAGTAGTGGCTTCTCTGTTCTTCCTCCACCTGCGACTTGACCAATCATAGCTCTGCATCCACTTTGCACAGTCTTCTTTGCCCCAGACGGAAGTTTAATCCTTTAAATATGACCAAAATATTATCCATTATTAGTTACATCAATAGCGTGCCACACAAGAAACGTTGAGGGTATTTTACCTAGTGGTGCCGTTATCATGATTGTGAGCAATCACGATGGCGTAATCACCAGAAGCCCTAGCGAAGGCTCCACGGTCACCAACATGGAGTTCAACGTTGCAGACAACAGCTCCTTCTGGAATCGACCTAAGTGGGAGCACGTTTCCGACAACTAGAGTCGCCTTCTTACCACAGTAGAGGAACTGTCCCGTGTACATACCTTCGGCGGCGACAAAGAGCTCCTTCTGCTTCTTGTAACGGAAAGGATGTCGGAAATCGACGCGAGCTAACGGAGCGCCACGTCCAGGATCGTGAATGATCTCAGTCACAACACCTTTGAGATAGCCATTTCTCTCGCCGTAGTCGAGGCTACGGAACTTAGCAGGACCCTTGCGGTGGTGAGTGTGGGACTTGAAGACGGAACCAGCGGCACCTTTACGTTGAGCCCTAATCACACGACCCATGACCACGTCGTCTTAGATCTTCTTTGCTTTCTGCTCAAGGTGTTGGGATTTTGTAGGAACTTTGTTTATATAGCGTTGTCATGTTGTAAAACCCTAGTTATTTTAGTGGGTTTTTTGTATTGGGCCTTCATGTAGCGTTGTTACATCCAAACTCAGTTAAATTAGCCACTTTAATTGACATAATGAGGATGGGGAAAGTGCTAAACCAATACTTAACCAATAAGTGACCATAAATAATTAAATATAACCAATCCGAATTAGAAATGCACGCATCTAAACCATAAGTGCGCCGTACAAAGACGTTAACAATAAAAATGTGTTTTGGTTGTCAAAACAAGGACAATACATCGATTATGAGATAATACAATTTTTTTTTAAAATTAATATGGGGGTATCCTAGATCTATAAAGAAGCCTAGACTAATCTCCAAGGGGAGGTACAGCCTACGGGTAAACCCTTTCTCCGCATATTCAAATGGGCTTTAAAGCATGGGTCCATACCCGTTTTAGGTGACCAGGATAATTATGATTTAGTTTCGTGCAGCAGGTGAATCGAACCTGAAATATGTTGGTGTCTCAGCCCCGTCTCCTTACCACTCGACTACAATCACTCGGTCAATAATAATACAATTTTTTGCAAATTTAAAAAGGTAGTTAACAGAATTTAGGGGGACAAATGTAATTATCAGTTGGAAAATTGTTGAAGTTATATTTTGGTTGAAATACCATAATAATCCAGAGGGTGAAACAAGCTATTTTTGATATCTTCTAATATATTATATGTCAACTTATTGATATGAATGGGTGCATCATGTAAGCAAATACGTCAATCGCAGGCTTGTCATTGTCTATAACAATTTGCATGCTGCTATACATACGCATGACTAACGCTTTTATGTTTTAAAAGGATGAACTGTTAAATCATAGAATCTAAGATAAATGAGTGTCCAATATAAAATATTTGATAAAACCATTTCCAGTGGTGTATTATTTTGAAAGAAGATATCAGAAAAAGAGGGAAAACTTTCTCTAATGATGCATCATTTTGAGGACGAAAATAAATTTATGAATAGTGTTCTCTCATTTTTTATGTTTTTCTCATTTTGTGTTAATTTTATTATTTATAAATTTTCTATGAAATTTTCTATAATTATGTTTTATATAAAAAACTCAAGATTTTTTTATAATTTAAGGAAATTATTAATACTCTCATATTATAGTTATAAGTTTATATAAAGCCTTGTATCTTTAAACAAAACAAAACTTATGTACATAATGAAGATTTAGTTAAAATAAAAGTATATTTGGATAAAATCTGTGAATTTTTGAAAATGATAACCATTATTATAATAAATAATAAGTAATAATAACATAATATATTTGAAATTGTTCTTTTGGAGGTGAAAAATACGAGGAATCATTGGAATCAAATGTAATTTCATCTTGAAGAAAAAATGAAAATAACTATTGGAGATGCCCTCACCAAACTCAGGTCATGTGTCGGCGGAGTAAGCGCATTTTCATGCCCTGTGTCACATTCTTGATTCTTGTACTTCTACACCCGTGCTCGCGTTTACTTTTTTTTTTTTTACTTCCAAATTTCAGCCAAAAAAAAAATCAATATTTTCTTTTTGACTAAAATTTACAACAATATTAAATCCTAGGATGACATATAACATTTGAAAATGAAATAAGCTTCCGCAATTTGAAACGGTAGGCGGGCCTCATGTAGTGTCATGCCTTTAACGCAATGAAAACCAATAAAATCGTCAATAAAACTTACACAATCAAGTTTTCCTAAACCAATTCTATCTGTATTATTATGATGACCAAGCTTCTGACAATGCACATTTGAATAATGCACATATGCACTTATCAAGTAAAAAACAAAACTCTATATCATACAAAACTAAATAAATAAAGCCTGTCTTATTTTACATTTAGAATGCGAGCTTAGATTATAACATTTTTTTCCGAACACACGAAGCAAGTATCTGTTCCGTGAATCAGCAGCTCTCTCCCTCATGTGACGAGACCAAGGAAAAAATCGTCCAAAAAGGAGAGTAATCTTTATCGTTTACATGTTATGGCTATAAAAATGTTAAAAGCAACAAAATTTTGGGTTTTAATCGCAACATTTATGATATTTGTATCACTACAAGAACAGTGATATATGAGTGAGTTAAAGAGACCAGATTAGCTTTAATCATGATCACTCGATCATCCATGCGTGTTTATAGAGACAGACACGCATGTAAAGAAACATGCAACACAAGGATATATAGTCCATGAGAAAAAAAAAAAAAAAAAAAAAAAAGACTTGTGCGTATCCGTATTAATTATTCCGCTTATAATGGGAGCTAGGAAACTCAAACTAAGACCTAGCTACTGTGATATGATATGGTGTCCAAGAGAAAGAGAAATATATTTTGGTCGCAAGGAATGGTGATGCCTCTCTCTTGCCTAAACCCAAACTCTTCCTCTGCTTCTTGCAGCATCTTCTGAAAGATTGGATGGTTGAGAAATGTGATGGGGATGACGTGACGGGCTCTGGATTTCCCCACGTAAACAGCGAAATGCCCCTTCATGGGCACGTCTTCTTTGCCCTTCTTCAGTAAGCTTGAGCATCTCTTCAGCATCTGTTTCAATGGTGATGCTACTCTTTCTGTCTGCGCCTTACTTGTTTTCTTTATCCCCATTATATTACACTCTTCACTTTTTCATAAATTTGATGAATGGGGATGGATACAATTTGTTTCTGTTTCTTTGGCTCCTTGATAGAAACAGTTGTTATGTCTATATATAAATATTGAGCTGGTGATGACTGCAATGAGGGAAAAAATTTAGGACCAAGCCATTTAGTGAGAAATAAAACAACAAAGCGTTATTGGATGTAACATAAAACGACATGGAGTTGCTCACTTGCTCCTCAGGTGAAGAAGAAAAAGAATAAAGTTACCTTTTCATTTTTGATTCACTATGTTTACGTGTACATTTTTTGCACCTTTTATATGTTTTAATGTGTGTTTCTATGTTGTAATACGTATATCATTGATTATTGATTAAATTACAAATATATAGAACAATATATCCAACTTTAAAAAATATTGTATGCAAATACTGTTTTTTTTTTTTTTTTACTTTTCTCCTTACAAATGTTTTTTCAAAAGAAAATGAAGTAAAAATAAAAAATAAATTACTTAAAAAAAGTTTTAAAGAATATCATGTGAGCAATTCCATTGCAGAACATGACTTCAAGCCTCAAGACGCTCATCATCAAGGTCACACCTCAATTCCCTGAAAATTAACCAAAACATATATAGATACTCTTGAATCATCAATCTCGTTGCAGGAGGGATTGCACTATGCTCAAGAAAGCTAAATGTGTTTGTGTATGTTGGGATATGAACGTCTACTGTCAATGTCTTTTGGAGATTATGGATATACTTTGTTTTCCTACATAATAAAACATTTTCCTAGGAAGACTATCACACTTTGAGTTGATGAAAAGTAGGGTAATAAGCAAACACTGAATAGCCAAAGTGCTAATGTTAGTTTCATTGCGGTGTGAGATCAAATTCATATTATAACTACCGAGTATGAAAAAAAAATATCTATACCCTCCTAATTACATAAGTCTTTTGGACATGAATCCAAATGTAGTCATTATTGGTCACATTTATCTCTTGTTACTTTATTTCTTTTGTTACCTGATTCTCCCTCTTATCTTATGTCTAATATTGACTACTTTCTAGGCATGTTTTGGTTTGTAACAAAGTTCTCTTTGATGTGTTGTTAGTTGATGTCGATCTTAACTGATCATATAAACTTTAATCAAACGAACAAAGATCCAATGAAAAAGTGAATGTCTTTACAACATTAACTTTGGTTATGTATCTATCTTTTAGAGTTTCTTAACTATAAAATATTAATAAAATTAAGTTATGATTTATGAATCAAATTCTAAAAACAAGCTTATTCCTACAACTAGTTAAGTAAATTATGATTTGACTGGCCTTTTTACATTCTTATATTGCATTTGCATTTTCTCTCTTGAACTCAAAGTTTGACAGTGTTGAAAAATGCCAATAATTAAATCTCATTAAACAATTATTGAATAATGCTAAAAATGCTAAAACTTTAGAAGAAGAAAAACTCGACTGAAATATTTATTTATTTTAATTGATTTTTTGATTAAATAATTTCACTTTTAAGATCCGTATATATACTTTTTAAGCTTCAATTTTATTTTTTACTATATTTTTTTTTATTATTGTGCACAGAGATTTCAATCACTAATACTAGGATCTAACATAGGGACTTTCTTTTGCTTTCTACTTTCTAGTAATTAGTAAATGTATAAGTTTGGAAAATTTTGAAGTCATGGTTTCTTAGTTTCGAGAAATCGGTACTTACATGTCAGACGATAAAAATGTAACAAAATAAAGTCGAACGAATCCCCAAAATAAGAACAAATAGTTTTGGGAATGTTATTTCAGAATTCATAAGGCGATGAGTACGTATAAACGTGAGACAAGGATCACTAAAGGTGGTTATTAACTTGACCGGTTTTTTGAAAAGAGCCAAGCAGCCAATGGGACCAACGGCTTCATCTTCTTTGTCTGCTTCTTCACCATAGCTTGGTTCTTCTTATCCTCTTTTCTCTCAATGACCTTCGTTGGTGGATTTGCAACCTTCACCGAACGTCTCTTCTCCAGACGATCTTCATTATCATACACTTCATTTTGATCAAACCGGTTCATCTTGATCTCGGTTATGCTATCCGGTTCAATAACCGTTGGTTGCTCTATGAACTTGAGGTCATCTTCGACTTGAGGGTCTTCTGGGAAGTTTCTAAGTGAATGGTTTAGCTTTTCTTTAGTGGTTTCAAGCTCATGCGTTAGTGTTTCGAGTAGCTGAGACAAAACCTTGTTCTCTTCTTCAGCTTTTTTCAGATTCTCCTTTGCTTCATCCAACTCAGCCTCTATTGTTTTGCTTCTAAAACCCGCATTGCTATCTCCATTGTCTCTCTAATCCACACGGTCAGAATATCATTGTCACAATTTTAATTATTGATACATATATCCAGTTCAAAAAATATATATTGATACATATATATATATAAAAATATATAATCACATGTCCTAGGTTAATGTTATATGCAAAACATGTGTGTGTTTAGTTATTATAACCTCTTCGGACTTGTTGACGTAATTTTCTCCGAGAAGAATTCTCTCGTCGAAGAGAGTGACAGCCTCTTTAACAGACCGGAAAATAGCTCCGGTATCGATATCGGCGCTAACCATTGCAGAATGCAGCTGGTTAAGAGTTGTTTAGGTTGTTGCTTTTGTTGTATATATGAGTTTGTGGTACATGTCTTGACGAACCATATATTAAGCTTTTTATAAAGAAAGAAGCATCACACTCTCAAACAAGATTGCAACTGTTGGTTGTTGTTGCTGAGACGGATGGTGACTAGATTGAGTATAATTGACCACGTTATCATCAAAGATTATGAGATGATTCAATCATGTTATAGTCATTTCGTTTTTAATACTGAGTTGAAATCCCACTAAACGACAAATATGATTGGTAAGTTGTTAACTTTTTCAAATTGGATTTTTATTTTAATAGAATAGATAGTTGAAAATGTCTTTGCGTTTGCTTCACACAAAATATAACTTTGGGTAAATACAAGTAGAGAGGTTCGTTGGAACGTCCTTCGGTTTTCATGTGTTCTGTTAGTTTTCTTTAACTTCTTTGCTACTACCAAATAATTTTTTTTTCTAACAGAATAATCAAAAGAAAATCTTCATTGCGACAACGACCTTTCTCCTCATTCATGGGCCTCATAAATCATAAATGAAAATTTATCAACAGATTACACTTTGTGACCAAATACGAAGCAGCCCAAAATAATTCGACTGAATCAATCAGTGACTTTTTTTTTCCTTTAACAATCAGTGACTAAATACAGTTTAAGGGGGGAAATCAGATCTCAATATTATGTCACTAAAATTTCTCAAAATAAATTATATTATATTTTAATTTAAAATGTGTTCATTTTGAACTATCAATAAAATATTAATATAATCTGGTTTATATTAAAAATTAAATATTTATATGTATTGTGAAATGATGATGAAAGACTAATTAAGTATGGGTTATTGATTTGTGTACTTTATGGATTTTATTTCAAATTTATGTTGAAATAATATGTTATTGATTTCATGATTCATAAATCTTAATTTATATTTTTTATTCAATTATTTAAATTTACAAACATATTTTAATTCACAATGAATGTGAGTGGACTTGAAGGTATTTTTTTGGTAAAAACAACTCCAATCTGAAGAAAATTTCCGGACAACAACTTTATTGTTGTCAAATATAAGATTCATAATCTTCAAGACTACAACTCACACATTATGAAAAAAAGAACTTAAGCTGTTGATTAGTTGATTAACTACTAGTGAAAAACCATTCACTACAAATCCGTTCATATATCTTCTCTCCTCAACCGGATTATGTGACAATAGTAACCATGCAAGTTGATGATCTGATCTGGATTTTTGTAAATCTGTAACGCAAGCCCGGACCAAAACTATTTCCACCACGTGGATCTTCACGGACCACAACAATTTGTTAAGACGTGGCTTTTTCTTTCATCGTTAAAAAGAAAACGTACCGACTACAATTCATCATGGTGTAAAAATTTGTAAACTTTTTTTTTTGTCAAGTAAAAATTTGTAAACTAAACGTCCATGTCACATATAATCCGGGCATATAATACGTTGAAATCTAGCAAAAAAACACACTAATAGATGTTTTTTTAGATTATTACAAGAATATAAATGCAAATGCACGTAGTTAGTTGAGTTACTTGTCTTTCTAGAAAGAGAGGAGATAGATAGAAGTACCGTGGTAGGTAGCGAACGAACTCTTCATTTGCCAGTCTTCACAAGCTTTGAAAGGTTTTCCCAGCTACCACGCACTCTCTCTTTCTCTTCTTATATATTCATTACACATTCTCTCTCTTTTTCTTGTTCATGCAATCTTTTTACCGTTTTGTAATTTAGTTATAAATGGCTCCAGGAACTCTAACTGAGCTTGCCGGAGAGACTGAGCTCAACTCTAAGTTCGTCCGGGACGAGGATGAACGTCCCAAGGTTGCCTACAATGAGTTCAGCACGGAGATACCCGTGATCTCTCTCGCTGGAATCGACGATGTTGGTGGGAAAAGAGGAGAGATCTGTCGTCAGATCGTTGATGCTTGTGAGAACTGGGGGATCTTTCAGGTGGTCGATCATGGAGTGGATACTAGTTTGGTGGCGGATATGACTCGTCTTGCTCGTGACTTCTTTGCTTTACCTCCTGAGGAGAAACTCAAGTTCGACATGTCCGGTGGTAAAAAGGGAGGATTCATCGTCTCTAGTCATCTTCAGGTATATCCACTATATAGTTTTGTTTAGTCGATTCTGTGATTTTAGGAGGTATAAACAACTTATAAAAATTCTAATAAAAAAAGTTCAAACAGTTTTGGGGACTTATGTTTATGTGCATTACCTCTTAAAATTTTGGAAATTATAGGTCAATGTTTTTTTTTTGTAATATAGGTCAATGTCTATATACGGTTTATGTACTTGACCTTAAATTTTTTGGAAATTATAGTTTTGTTTATGTACTTGATCTTAGACCCATATGTTTCTCAGGGCTGTAAACTGCAAATTATGTTCATGTAGTAAGGTCCTGTTCGGAGCACAAGCAAAAAAGGAAACCGATTGCTTAGGGCATCCCGACCTTTTACAAAATTTTAATTGTATGTAGGACATAATAAAAAAGAATTATATGTAGAATGAGGGAATAAATTTGTATCTATGCAGGGAGAGGTTGTTCAAGACTGGAGAGAGATCGTGACGTATTTCTCGTACCCGGTGAGAAACAGAGACTACTCACGGTGGCCGAGTAAGCCGGAAGGGTGGGTGAAAGTGACGGAGGAGTACAGCGAGAGGCTAATGGGTTTGGCTTGTAAGCTTCTTGAGGTTTTGTCTGAAGCTATGGGGCTTGAGAAAGAGGCACTTACCAATGCATGCGTCGATATGGACCAAAAAATAGTTGTTAACTATTACCCAAAATGCCCTCAGCCTGATCTTACCCTCGGACTCAAGCGTCACACTGACCCAGGAACCATAACTTTGCTGCTCCAAGACCAAGTCGGTGGTTTACAGGCCACACGTGACGATGGGAAGACATGGATTACGGTTCAGCCTGTTGAAGGAGCTTTTGTTGTCAATCTAGGCGACCATGGTCACGTTAGTACTTTCTCAACCTCTCTCACACTCTGTTTTTATTTACTCGGTTTGTGATTTTTGACTTGGTCAAACTTGCATGTCTTTTGAAGTATCTGAGCAACGGGAGGTTCAAGAATGCTGATCACCAGGCGGTGGTGAACTCTAACTCGAGCAGATTATCTATAGCCACGTTCCAGAATCCGGCGCCTGAAGCAACCGTGTATCCGCTTAAACTGAGAGAAGGAGAGAAGCCGATCCTGGAGGAGCCAATTACGTTTGCGGAGATGTATAAGAGAAAGATGAGTAGAGATCTTGAGCTGGCTCGCCTCAAGAAGCTGGCGAAAGAAGAACATGATCACAAGGAAGCTGCCAAGACTCTAGACCAAACCATCGCTTAGATCCTTGTGTTGCCCTATTACTATTGTGTTGGTTCGGTTGTGTAACTTGGTACTGAAATTAAGTTATGTGTTTGGTGAGTTTGTGCTCGTTTCTTTTCTATCATATAGAAATAATGATAATAATGTCTATGACATAAACAATATGTGCCACTTACTTATGTCAAAGCATTATCATCATCAACTTCAATAGTACGACCACGTATATAGTTCACCACCATTGAAGTTCTCGTTTGTACAATGGTAGTTACCTCAATCATAATATCTAAACACGATTTTCAAAATATATAAAATACTTAGTGCAGTCTCAATGGAAGGTTTTCAAACAAAGTTTCTAAAAAGTATAGAACAAAAATATTCCTATTTTATTAAGAAAATTTTAAGATTATGAAAAATTTGTTTAACTTATCTCATTGAAATACTCAATCCAAAGTATTTCATTTACGATACTCTATATAAGTTTACATTATCTTCTATATACTAATAATTATATATTAGTTGATTACATGCACTCATTCGCGAGATAACATTTATATGCAAAAAATTATTTGAATATTAAATTGATTGCTCAACCATCGTTTTATAAGTTTCATAAAAATATAATTTTTGTTTTGTTTTTTTGAACGACTTCCAAACGTATAGTGATGAACCGTTAGTTGTTGAGTAGCAGGTCATGTTGATATTTTTATAAAACCTATTTAATTTACATTAGATTTTAATGATATCACCATGATGTTACTATTCACATTCTTACATTAATATAAACTCTATATTTTTGAAATGATATGATCAAATAACATTTGAGATCCCCGCGGAATGAATATTAACTATGTGTTGCTAAAAAACATTAATTATGTATACAAATTATTTATGTATATTTTTATTTTTTTCATGTACGTATTATGCAATAATAAATATATTAAATAATTGAGAATTAAGTAACTATTATGTATAAAATTAAAGTGGAGTAAACACATACAAAAATCATCTCTTTTTAATAATTTTGTTGGTAAAAAAATCAAAAAAATCATTTATTTACTTTGTACGACATATAGATAAAATTAAATAATATTGAGATAGATATATAGTATATTTTAATAGGAATATTCATTATTGAGGCTTTGTACTCATATGATTTTATGAACAATTTTATATTTGTTGGAAGAAATTTTTTTATTTGTTTAATATGAATATTTCTTAATTGAGGTTTCATATTCAATGCAAATTTTGAAATTAAAAATTTTATATGTGTATAATGAACTAAATATTTTTCACAGTTCACATGTACACCTAATTGTAGAATACACAAATAATGACAATCAATGCTTTACACAATTTATTTAAACACATATATGCACAAAATCCATCTACATGCATCCTAAAATAAATTAAATGAACTAAAATCAAATACTAAAAATCATTAAAATTAGTACTTATGAATAACACACGTAATTATGTGCACATCGGTTTTCATATACACTATTTTTAGTTTGCTTGATTTCTTTTTTTATTTATTTTGAAATTTTGAGTAAGCAACATTCAGTCCACCTATATGTGTATAATGACACCACATATTCATCTTCTATGTACATGTGTACACGACATGGAATGTACAAAAATCACAATGTATAGAAGGCAACAATCTTATCAACATGAAAACATGCTCCCATATTGAAACAAATCAGTGGGATGAGATTTGCGGAAAATATTTCACAGGCACACATGACTATGAATTGAAAGCTTGGTCTCCAAGCAGTTCATTTTCCTCCACAACAATTGATTCTGGTCCGTCAAAACAATCATTTATTTACTTTGTACGACATATAGATAAAATTAAATAATATTGATATATAGTATATTTTAATAGGAATATTCATTATTGAGGCTTTGTACTCATAGGATTTTATTAACAATTTTATATTTGTTGGAAGAAATATTTTTATTTTTTTTTAATATGAATATTTCTTAATTGAGGTTTCATATTCAATGCAAATTTTGAAATTAAAAATTTTATGTATTTTATATATGATATTTATTTTATTTAAATGATATTAATATATATATTTAATCTGATTATATATTAAATGAGACTTCATATTCATATGATTTATAATTATTTCTATAATTAAACTCTTGATCACAAAATTGTCATTGTGAAATTTTAATAGTCTTAGTAATTTATAGTTGTTTAAAAATTTCAAAATATAGTATATAAGAAAAAGTATAAATTTTGATTATATGGATAAAAAATTGTTATCAAAAATTAATTATCATATTATGTTAACCCTATTAGGTAATTTTGTAATTTTTATTTAAGGAAAGCATGTAGAATATTCTTTTGTATACTACTAATTAATTTGATAATTAGTTTAATAAAAACTATAATATATGTTTAGATGAACCAATATTTTTTCTAAAGATTTTAAGAATCATTGTAGTGATAATACGTGACTACCAAAACATGTTGTAATGCTTTTAAATTAATATATTATAGGATACATACAATTATATTTAAACTAAGAAACTTAGAAATTTCAATTGAAAATGCTCTTAAAAAAATAAGTGAAATAACTCATTTTCAAAGCTATCAGTTGGAATAACTTTAAAAACATTACCTATATATCATAAGAGATACCTTTGTAATAAATGTGTTCACGTATACATTGACATACAACAGCTTCAAAATCGTTTCAATTTAAGAATGCTGATGTGTAAATCTCACAATTATTTAAAAATAAATGTGTTAACATATTAATTTTTTTTTAAATTTACCGTAGATAAGTTAATGTGTTTATATATTAAGTTTTTTATTCAACTCATTTTTGGTTCATGCATTTTTAACCTTTGTATTAGTGAATTGAAATTCTTTTGGTACAAGTACTAAATAATATTATTGCTGAAAGAAAAAAATAGAAAATTATAAAAATTCACATCAATTAAAATGCTCCAGTAAAAATGTTTATAGAAAATGAAAATTTCGTACTTTGATGAACTTTAATGGTTGAGGTTTCTGTATACAAAATCAACAAATAATTGTGGTTAATTATGAATTAAAGAAACTGAGATGAAAAATACCACATATAAATTCAAGTATTTAGTTTATCCAAGTACTGTTTTTCACAGATGTTTCATATCAGAGCAATAATTAGAAACATCATCAGATTAGTAGAAAAAATAGAAATCAGAAAAGCTTTAAAAGGCAACAAATTCGCGAAATCGATTGAAAATAGAATTCATGTGCCGGAAGAAGAGATCACATAATTTTTGAGGCAAGCCTAACCACTTTCACTTGATTATATCATGTATTTATTATATTAACAATAATTTTTAGAAGAAAATACACATTATTGTTTATAGATTACATCAATTTTACAACATATCCAACAATATTGACACGACGTCCAACCATGTTTACAATTATCATTTATGTAAAATAAGCTCAGAAGATTTGTAATACATTTATTTTGTTTTGTTTTATATTAGTAGAAACAAAATAAATTTGGAAAAAATATCTGAATCCGAAGAACTGAATTGAACTTGAAAAGTAATACTAAATACAAACTAAAACTGACTAAGTACTTAGATAAATCTTAATTTTTAATATCTGGATAATCAGATCCGAATTCATTCCAAACTAAAATATTTTAGATATTAAAAAATATAAATCAAAATTATATATTTAAATATATTAATCAGACATTAAAAAAATAAAAAAATCTAAACATTATCAAAATAGTCACAAGTAGATATCTAAATAACAAAAAAATGTTCAAAGTATTGGAAATATCTATTGTTCTCCATCTAAGTATTCAAATTGAACTAGTTTCTATGTAAATTTTAGTATTTAGTTTTACATTATTTATTTATAATGTTTTATATTATTTTTATTCTTGGATTTTGAGGATTTAAATATATTTAGATTTTTGTTAAAAAATTACATAATAAAAATGGATACCCAAACTCGAATCTGAACCGTATTGAATCCGCAATAGTTCGAACCAAATCTAAATCAAATCCAAACTGATGTGTAAATATCTGAATCACATTTAACATAATAACAAAATAAGGAAGAAAAAGCCTTTTCTCTCTTCCCAATTGAAAGGCGATAAGGCTATAAGGTTTCAAAACCAAATCTCCGCCGTTGGTTGGCCTCACGCCGCCGGCGAGAACTTTTCTCCCCCTTGCTTCTCTTGTTGATTAAGTTATGCCTCCTAGGAAGAGACGTAAAAACCCTCTCCATGGATCCTCGAAAATGGCTCGGCTTCTCGGAGCTTCTCGGCCAGCAGCTAGCGTGAAATCGTTGAGGGAAAAGTCCAACCTCGCCAGTGCTCCTTGCACTGATGCCGTATTAACCACTGATGTGGCTCTGTTGGATACCCCTTCGTCGATGGAATTTGTTGTCGATTCGCCTCAGGAAATCTCTGCTATAGTGCTCTGGATCCCGTTGGCCCTTTAGATCCAGTAGTCCAGAAGTTTCTTGTTGAAATTACTCCCGAAGTTACCGAGGAGGTTAAGGCTGAACCATCTCCGGTCACAGCCGCTGTAACGGGTGATACCGGCGCTTCGCTTGTAGCGGGTGCGGTAAATCAAACGGAGGGTCTCTCTAAGGGAGAACTAAAGGAAGTTAGGAACTACGCCAGTCTCCTAAAAAGTTCATCTCAATTGGAGGTTCTTGGAACTCCTACAGAGCATGTGTTGGGTGTGCCGTTTGTTCTAATTACATATGAGAACATCACAGCAGCCAAAGAGGAATTCAAAGATTTTATCTACGCCAGATTTCATGGTGATTGGCCTTCCATGGGTCGTATTATTGGAGTGGTAAATGCCATTTGGGCAAGAGCCGGTCCAAGAATATTTGTCCATAACGTTGGTGAAGGATAATTTCTTCTTCGAGTCACAAACGCTAAGACAAGAAAGGCATTACTAGGGAGAACATGTTGGAATGTTGCTGGGTTCCCTATGTTTGTTGGCCCTTGGTCACCGGAGTTTACTGCTGAGGAAGCTCCTTTAACTTTGGCAGTCGTTCCAGTTGAATTACGTGACGTTCCCTATCTGTTGTTCAATAATCAAAGCTTGAGTAGGCTTGCTACGGCGGTCGGTAAACCAGAGTCCGTAGCTCCGGAAACAGAGAGAAAGCTAAATCTAAAAGTTGCAAAGCTTTATGTAAGAGTAGATTTGACGAAGCCGCTGTCAAACAAGATTATTGCAATGGCAGAGAAACAGAAATCTCGGTCTCCTATCTTTGGCTGCCCATGAAATGCGATCTGTGTAAGAAGTATGGTCATCTCCATACTAAATGATGTACCAAGATCCAGGGATCTTCCTCCAATAGGAAGAGATCAGTAAGTCCGGTTGGAGCGGGTTCAGAAACCAGGAATAAACCAAGCCATGCTAAAAAGACTAACAAAGTGATTACTCCTTCGGCTAACACCACAGGGGAAGGTGCTGAAGAAGGAGAAATATCCGACGTAGTGGAAAATAAAACATCTCTTCCATCTATTGTTACAGGCTCGCAGTCTACCAGTAAATATGGCCAGCCGCTAACAGGAGGAAAACAGTGCAGTGGTGAGGCTGGGAGTGCAGGTACCAGCCACATAGATTCAAATGCAGTCCCAGGAGTTGAGGCGGCTGCTGGTGGTGATAATATAAGCTGAAATAAACTTGTAACTCATAACTCATATGCACTCCTCTTTCCAGGCGGGTGATGTTGTGGGAGGTTCAAAGCAGTCTAGTTGGGATTCCGACGATTCTTTCTTTCTGGCTCACGGCATGAAGAGCGGCCGCAAGGCCAACACCTCCCTATAAGTAGTATGTCGATGTTTTTTTCGTGGAATGTCAGAGGACTGAACAGTGATAGACGCCACATCATGGTCAAAGACTGCATTAATATCCATAGGCCTCTTTTTGGAGCTTTTCTTGAAACGCATATTCTAAGTAGTAATGAAGTCATAATAAGAAGTGCTATTCCAGTTGGCTGGAAGGTTTTTGGGAACTATGATCACAATAACTCGGGCCGGATAATTGTAGTATGGGATCGCTCGATCTCAGTTTTTATTTATAAGGCCTCAGCTCAAGCTGTAACGTGTGGAATTCATATTTTGTCACAGAACTTGAACTTCACAGTCACATTCGTCTATGGTTACAATGAAGTGGGGGAGAAACAGCCTCTGTGGCATGAGTTGGCTGAGATACATAGGACGTCATCTATGGTAGATGCTCCGTGGACTGTAGTAGGAGATTTTAACCAGATTTTGAGGTTTTCTCAGCATTCATGTTACCCAGCTAGAGTCATTGATTCTACAGGAATGGAAGATTTTAATCTTGCTTTGCAGGAATCTGAGCTCTTTGAAGCTCAATCGAAAGGAACCCCCTTCTCGTGGTGGAACAACAATGATGCAAATCCCATATCGAGAAGTATTGATCATGCCCTCATAAATCAACTTTGGACCTCAAAATTTCCAGATTCTTATGCTGAGTTTTGGGAGCCAGGGCAGTCTGATCACTCTCCGTGTATTATTAAAATCCCTTCCCACAGGCGCCTATTTAGGAAACCTTTTAAGTTTTTCCATCACATCATTGACCATCCTGATTATGCCTCGGTAGTCTCTGCTGCTTGGAACCCGACCTTTATTGTAGGCACTGCATAATTTAAGCTTGTAAGGACGATGAAAATGTTGAAGAAAGAGATGAAAACTCTTAACAAAAGGCACTTCAGTGGTATCTCAACAAGGGTTAAGGAGCAAACAGGAAGGGTGGGGGACTTGCAAAAGTCTCTCCTTACTAGGCCAGACCCGACGATTGCTAGTGAGGAACACAGGGAGAGGAGGAAACTGAACTTACTTCTGAATGCAGAGCACAAGTTCTTCAGGAAAAGGTCGAGAGTGAGATGGGCAGATGTTGGGGACAGAAATACCACCTTCTACCACAAGTATGTAACACAAAAGAATTCGGGAAACCATATTCACTTTTTAAAAGACAGTCAGGGGAACTTTATTGGCGGTTTATCAGAGATTAGAGCTCACACAGCCTCTGATTTTGAAGGAATCCTTGGTGAAACAGAGCTTCCTTCCTCACCCATTGAAGTCTCAGATCTCAGGGAGCTGTTATCTTTTAGTTGTTCGGAGTTACAACAGGCTTATTTGAAGAGAGAGGTTCTACCTGCGGAAATTCAAGGAACAATATTCTCAATGCCTCTGAACAAAAGTCTGGGGCATGATGGGTATCCAGTGGAGTTTATTATATCATCGTGGGAGTGTGTCGGTTCCGATGTAATTGCTGCGATTGCTGATTTTTTTAGGAATGGCCGTCTGCTCAAGGATCTTAACACTTCCACCATTGTGCTTATACCTAAATCTACTGAGGCTTGCAAGCTTCAGGATTATAGACCTATCTGTTGTTGCAATATAGTATACAAGGTGATTACAAAGATAATTGCAAACAGATTGAAACCCATTTTGGAGGCCAGCATTTCCTTGAATCAAACGGCATTTCTTAAGGGTAGAAGCTTGGGAGAAAATGTGCTGCTTGCTTCAGAACTGATCAAGACCTACAAATCTCCAAATTGTCAACGTAGCTGCATGCTTAAGGTTGATATAAGGAATGCTTTTGACACACTATCTTGGGACTTTGTATTAAAGCTGCTAGCAACCCAGGACTACCCTACGATATTTATTACATGGGTGAAGGAGTGTATAACCTCTCCTCGTTTTTCTATAGCCATTAATGGTGAACTTGCCGGGTTTTTCCCTGGAAAGAAAGGGCTGTGTCAAGGGGATTCTATCTCGTCATATCTCTTTATTCTGACTATAGAAGTTCTCTCGAGGCTGTTGGAGAAAACAGTAGATGAAGGAGATATCAGATTGCACCCAAAATGCCACGACCCCAAGATCACTCACTTGCTCTTTGCGGATGACCTACTGGTATTCTCAGATGGGTCTCGGCACTCTATAGCGGGTATTAAAAAGGTATTATTTGTTTTCAAAAGAATGGACCGGGCTGGATATGAATGCTGATAAGTCAGAAATTTTCTTCGGCGGTTATTCTGATATTAAAGCCTCTGTGATTAGTGATATCACGGGATTTAGAAGAGGGACATTTCCTACCAGGTATCTGGGGCTTCCTTTAAACCCTAGTAGAATTAGCTTCGCTACTTTGCAGCCTTTTCTGGAGCGCATTACCTCCAAAATGCACTCTTGGAATGCTAAGAGTTTGTCGTTTGCAGGGAAAGTCCAACTTGTCGCAAGTTTAGTGTATGGGATGGTAAATTTTTGGAGTTTGGTCTTTGCGCTTCCAAAGCGGTTTTATGAGAAAGTTGACTCCTTATGTTATGCTTTTCTGTGGAAGAACAGCACCACTTCAGCTTCTGGAGCGAGAGTTAGTTGGGTCAGTATTTGTAAACCAAAGAAAGAGGGAGCCTTGGCCTGAGAAGGCTAGAGGAATATCAGAAGGTCTTCGATCTGAAAAGGGTCTGGATGTTTTCTTCAGAGGCTGGATTTCTTTGGGTGGCTTGGCTTAAAGCAAATGGTTTCCATAGCCAATGCTACTGGACCTTATCTGATTCTCAAAGAGTTTCTCTAACTGTCAGGAGTATGCTCAGAGTAAGGGAAAACGTCACTGAGTTTCTAAGGTGCAGTGTGGGTGATGGTAACACTGCAACTTTCTGATATGATTATTGGACAGATTTAGGACCTCTCATCTCCGCTATATGGCAAAGAGGCCCTCGAGACCTGAGGATAAATCTGGAGAGTCGGGTCATCTCTGCTGTAGCCAATAGTGACTGGTCCCTACCAGCGGCAAGATCGGAGGAGTCCATGACTTTGCAGATTGTGCTTTCCACAATGGCACCACCTCACCCTGATCGGGGCACATATAAATTTCTTTGGCGCAATGGGGCAGACCATTTCGTTCCAAAGTTCTCATCTAAAGCAACTTGGCACCGTATCCGTGAGTCATCGCTAGTGGTTCCTTGGTTTGACTTGGTCTGGTTTAAAGAAGAAATCCCTAGGTGCTCCTTTGTGGTTTGGATGGCTATGCTCTCCAGGTTTCCCACAAAAGATCGCTTGGCATCGTGAGGCATGAACGTCCCAACGCTTTGTGTCCTTTGTTCATCTGACCTTGAGTCTCATGAACATCTTTTCTTCAGGTGCCCCTTTAGTTCAGCTATCTGGTCTCATTTCTCAGGAAGCGTTTGGCCAGCTACCCTGTCTTCCCTGGTCGTTGTTGCAGACATTCTCTCTCTCAACCAGATTGCTCGTTCTTCTCGGCTTCAGATTGTGATAAAATTGTTGATGCAAACTATTGTCTATTGCGTCTGGCGTGAGAGGAAGTCACGCATCTTCAGGCAAGAGGCTTCTCCTGTATCGGGTGTCATTGCTCGGGTGGATCGCCTCATACGTGACCGGCTTCTTTCCATTACTGCAGCTCCTGCTCCGCCATCTCTGCTGCAGCTCTTCTTCTCTCTCACCTTCCGGCCTCTGTAGTGATCGTTCCCCTGTTTCGTCTGTTTTCTTGTAATTTTTCTCCTTCGTTTTCTTGTAATAAGTGGATTTACTTCACAACTATGTAAAACAGAAAAGTTTGGTATGAATTTTAACATTTACACCAAAAAATAATAACAACATAAAAGGCAGTTAAAAAGTTAAAATAAAAAATATTATGGTATCTCATAATATCTGATTTTTTAAGGTGAAAAAATTTAAGATTTGAACCCCTTTTTTGGGTTACTCACATCTGGAACTTCCCAATGAGAATTGCTCTTACCAATCAAAATCACGAAAGGTTGTTCATGTTTTGCGTTCACATGTGAAAAAATAGTTCTTTCTTTTTTTTTTGGTCGGCAAAATGTCTGGGAACTCAAAATCCGCGGGATATCAATTCAATCAATACTTTATTTATTTTAAATCAGTTTAGACCACGTGGCCTTCTCGAAAAGATACTTACCTCGGAAGTTAAAACTCAACCCCTTTTTCTCAATTTTCGAATTCTTTTCTCCTTTCTCGTAATTTCATTTTCAATCAAACGACGCAGCGAAGAAGAAATATGAATCCTCCTCACGACGCAAAGCAACGACCATCACTATACCCCGAAATCGACCAATCCATCCCCGATAACCCCTTCGCTCCCACCAATCCTTCCCCTAACCTCTACCCTCCCGTCGACTCATCCTCCAACAACCAACCACCATCCGCTCCCCCACAAGCCATCGAAGAGACTCTCATCCGCGTCCCCGGCGCAATCCTCAACCTAATCGACAAATCCTACAGCGTGGAGCTCGCGTGCGGCGACCTCACCATCCTCCGCATCGTCCAAGGCCCCAACATCGTCGCCGTCCTCGCCAACGTCGCCGACGAGATCCAATGGCCGTTAACGAAAAGCGAAATCGCCACGAAAGTCGACGGATCGCATTACTTCTTCTCCATCCACCCGCCGAAAGAATCCGGATCCGGATCCGATGATGAGATTTTGAATTACGGATTGACAATCGCCTCCAAAGGTCAAGAGGATGTTTTGCTTAGCCTTGATCAGGTTCTTAGGGATTATTGCTGTTTCGCGGAGCAGAGGATGTCGGAGAGGGCGAAAGGGGAAGAGGTTTTGGGAAGCTCCATGGCTGCGGCGACGTCGCCGGAGGAGTTGAAGGGGGAGAGGAAGGAGGTTGTGGAGGGGCAGTGTGCGGCGTATTGGACTACGCTTGCGCCTAATATTGAGGATTATAGTAGTAAGAGTGCGAAGATGATAGCGTCTGGGTCGGGGCATGTGATTAGAGGGATTCTTTGGTGTGGGGATGTTACTGTGGAGAGGCTTAAGAGAGGGAATGAGGTTATGAAGAGTAGGTTGAGTCGTGCTGAGAAGGAGAAAGATGTTAGTCCTGAGACCTTGAGGAGAATCAAGAGGTATGGGTGTTGTTTAGTGTCGTTAGATATACTCTAATGTGGTTCTTTGATTGATGATGAAAACTTAGTAGTAAGAGATGGTTCCGTGTGCATAAGAAAGGATGAGACTTTTTAATATGTCTAATTAATTTGGATTCTTATGGTGTTTCTTGTTTGCAGAAGACCAATTCTTTGAGAAATTGAGAAGACTTTCTTGTTTAAAAATAGTGCTTTGTTATGGTAGGGTCTTGTGTGCTTGTGGTAATCTATTAGGAACTCTAATGTGGTTCTGTGTTCAGAAGAAATTATGAGACTCTTTTTTTTTAATATGTAAATCAATATGCATTATCATGGTAAGCAGGTATGGTAATGTTTAGGGATCATGAGAATTTTTATCTCTTTTCTTGTTCTTTGGGAAATGATGAGACTTTCTTGTTAGAAAATTGGGGATTTCTTATGGTAGTGTTGTTTCTTGAATGAACAACTTGTGTGCTTGTGTTAATTTCTTTATTGTGGTTTTATGTGTAAAGGGTTAAGAGAGTGACACAGATGACGGAGAAAGTGGCGACTGGTGTTCTTTCTGGTGTTGTCAAAGTCTCGGGACTTATCACTGGTTCACTGGCAAACTCAAAAGCTGGAAAGAAGTTTTTTGGACTCTTGCCTGGAGAGATCATTCTTGCATCCCTCGATGGATTTAGTAAGTCGTTTACTTGTTTTCTTGCTACTCAGTTATTTTATGCTTAGAGGGTCAGGGAAAACTTATTGATTCTTGAATGGCCTTGCTTTTTACAATCATGCTTGCTTAACGTTACTGAAGGGTTCTTTCGTCATCATCAATACATGTGTCTTTTCGTGTTTTCTTCCAATAATCTGTGATGTACACTCTTAATGTGCTGCTTCTTTTTTTTGATGCACATGGCATTATTAACCTTGCCTCCTTTGATTTCTGCAGGCAAGATCTGTGATGCTGTTGAAGTGGCTGGAAAAAACGTCATGTCGACTTCATCAACTGTCACAACGGAACTCGTCGATCACAAGTATTGTTTTCCAATCTCATATGAAAGCTATCACATATCTCACAGCAAAGAGTGATCTCTAGCTAATGATCAAAAACTGCCTTAGATTTAAATGAAACCTCATGGATTTTGCAGGTACGGAACAAAAGCAGCCGAGGCTACTAACGAAGGACTAGACGCAGCAGGACACGCTTTTGGAACCGCATGGGTTGCTTTCAAGATCCGTAAGGCACTTAACCCCAAAAGTGTGTTAAAGCCTTCAACATTAGCCAAGTCGGCTGTCTCTGATTTAAAGGCTAAGAAAGGCTCCAAGTAACAGCCGAACTGGAAAAGTATGTATTTGAAGTATTCAACTATTCATACTTGCATTATTTAGTTTATCTTTTTGGAAAATTGTATGAGAATTTAACAATGCATTCTGCATTTTTCCTGTATATATTGTGATTCTATGTAAAACTATGTACAAACAGTTTCTTCTTACTTTCTCTCACTATATTTTATGTTTAATACATGAGTATAATTTTGATATGATTTGCTTAGACCTAGTGGACATGACTACAAACCTAGAGAATTGACCGATTTTCACGATAGAGATCGAAGTGTCCTACAGATTACATGAGGATTTCGAGTGACTTTATCTCATATTCCTCGGAATAGGAATGATCGAGCGGACGCAATAACAGAAGAAGCAAAAACTAGAGACTATACATTTTGTTATATAGATCAAACCTGGCCAGTCAGAGATGTTCATCAGAGAATCAGTTCGTCTGACCAAAACTTGATCTAGTTTAGATAGGTAATTGACAAAAAAATATATTATATTTAATCCTAATCGACATTTATTTAAAACAAACCATATTAAAGTTAGGCATAGCGTTTGTAACTGATTCCAAAAAGTTAAAATCTAATCCAAACTGTTAAAGAAAAAAAAAACTCAAACTGACCTAAAAACTAGATACTTTGGATATCAAATATAACCTGACCTGAAGAGAAATTCGGATTAGTTAGAACACTTGAAATTTTTATTTTATGATAATTTTGAATATTCTAGAATATTTGGCAATTTTGGTAGTTTTATATAAGATTTTTGGCTACTTTAAATATTGTTTGGCAGTTTTAAATTTTCTGAATTTTTTGAATAATTTATTTTCGACGTAGTTTTTTATCATTATTTTTTGGTGATTCTATATATTAGTTATAAATAACCAAATCTAAAAATTGGAACTAACCGGACGTCAGAAAGAATCATGATTAACCCTACTTTCTTAACTAGGATTCTTAGCTTCGTTAAGAGATATAAGAATTGTATTTAAGCCGAAAACTAAATAAGAAGAAAAAAACAATATCAAATCATGAGTTAAGAATCCCGGCTAACAGACCAGAGTTTAAATTTGGAAATCCGAAATTTTCGATGCGAGCCCTGTTTGAGTTCTGAAGAAATGGGCCACTGAGGTTTGGGCCAATATAGCTTAATTTAGGCCCACAGAAACAAAATCCATCACTGATGGGTGGTGGTTCCTTCTGTTAACGTGAACCTGTCCGCAGGAGAATCCAACCCAACTGAGACTTAACTTGTCGCCGAAGTCGGAATCGATATTATAACAAAAGGGAAGAAGAGAGAAAGCTATATTGGGAGAATCAGAAACAACAACACTCGCAAAGACCCATACAAAATACAAGGACAAAGATGGCTAGATACGATCGAGCAATCACAGTCTTCTCACCCGATGGCCACCTTTTCCAAGTAGAGTACGCCCTAGAAGCCGTCCGTAAAGGTAACGCCGCCGTCGGAGTCCGCGGTACCGATACTGTCGTCCTCGCCGTCGAGAAGAAATCCACCCCTAAGCTCCAGGATACTAGGTAGTAGCTCCAGATCTCTGTCGATTCAACATGTTTTGAAATAGATTTTTAGGGTTTTTGATTTTGCTCAGTGTTTGATCGATTTGAAATCGTTTCTGATTGAAACGTGATGTTGGGTAGTGTTAGATCGTTGATTAGAAGCTGATCCCTAGTTAAAGACTCGATTTTTTTTTGTGTTTATGATGAAACTTGCTCTGCTTCTGTGTAAGGTTTCTCTCAGATGTGTTTATGTTTTATGGTGTTAGTTTCATCATTCTCTTTTAATGTTTGATGCTGAATTTGAGTTAAAGTTTTCCCCTTTTGCCAGTATTATATAACAATCCTTAGCTTTACTGCGTTTGTAGTTATGTTTTGGTATGTGTTCTTCGTCTGAAACATACACAATTGCTCTCAGTTGTGTATATTTTATGATATAGTTTCATTCTCTTTGAAATTTTAATTTTTGGGGTTTAATTTGAGTGAAAAAGTTTGCCCCTTTATGAGTATCTATAACAACAATCTGTAGCTATACATGTGAGTTTAGTTTTGGTGGTTGATCTCTTGTCCCATATAGATCTGAGTATTATTTTCTTCCCTCCAATTAATTTTAATCTGTATGTATGGTCTGGCTGGTGTTTCTTTTATCAACAGCATCAGATTTGATAAATTTTTGTTTGTTACAGATCAGCTAGAAAGATTGTGAGCCTTGATAACCACATTGCATTAGCCTGTGCTGGGCTGAAGGCAGATGCTCGTGTCCTGATTAACAAAGCGAGGATAGAGTGTCAGAGCCACAGGCTTACGTTGGAGGATCCAGTGACTGTTGAGTACATCACCCGTTACATTGCTGGGCTTCAGCAGAAGTATACTCAGAGTGGTGGTGTGAGACCTTTTGGTCTTTCCACACTTATTGTTGGTTTTGACCCCTACACTCGTATACCTGCGCTTTATCAGACTGACCCATCTGGTACCTTCTCTGCTTGGAAGGCTAATGCAACCGGGAGAAACTCGAACTCAATCAGGGAGTTTCTGGAGAAGAATTATAAAGAAACTTCGGGACAAGAGACTGTTAAACTTGCTATCCGTGCTCTGCTTGAGGTTAGTTTCTCCTATAATTTTCTATGATCAAACGAATTAGGGTTCTTGTGAGCAGTTACTGAGTGCCTTGTTACTAAACTTGACAAAGAGTAATAGAATGTTAAAAGTTTTCGAAAATATAATATTCCCTACTAGTTGAGGAGGAGAATAATATTTGATGAACTTGACAACTATGCAGGTAGTTGAGAGTGGTGGAAAGAACATTGAGGTTGCTTTAATGACAAGGGAGGAAGGTACTCTGAAGCAGCTAGAAGAAGCTGAGATTGATGCGATTGTGGCTGAGATCGAAGCAGAGAAGGCGGCTGCAGAAGCAGCCAAGAAAGGTCCTTCAAGGGAAACATAAGCCAGGGCTTACAGCCTCGGTCTCGGTTATTGTTGGTTCGAAGTAACGTATTCGAGTGTTGAATACAAAGATCTGGACTGCGTTAGATCATGTTGTTGGATCATTAGCCTGTTTGACATTCTTCGTTATAAATCTTAATTTACATTTTATGGGCACTGCTTCTTGACTTGCGGCCTTCTTGTTTTCGGCTTATTTTATGCATGAATGTGGTGTAAGATCAATTGCTCTGAGTTTCTGAATAATACGCTAGTTTCATTGATAAGAAGAAGATGACTATATATAGTCTTACATGAAAACATAGATCCTAAAATAAAGCAACTACATCACTAAACAAACGTGATCCTAAAATTACGTTAAACACTAACCATGAGCAATAACAGAAACAAATAACTTAAGACTAATTCAAACTNGAATAATACGCTAGTTTCATTGATAAGAAGAAGATGACTATATATAGTCTTACATGAAAACATAGATCCTAAAATAAAGCAACTACATCACTAAACAAACGTGATCCTAAAATTACGTTAAACACTAACCATGAGCAATAACAGAAACAAATAACTTAAGACTAATTCAAACTAGCTTCCTAGACTTCAAACTTCCAACAGCTTCTTTGATTTGCTCCAACAAACCCTCCCTAAACTAAGCTTGGTGACCAATGCTTAGCTTATCTGTGACAGAGCAAATCCCAAGTTGCTTCCTCATTCTTTCGAATGCTTCCTTGCTTAATGGCTTTCTGAAAATGTCTGCCACCTGATCATACGTCTCACAATGCTCCAAACTGATTTCTCCATTGTTAACCAAGTCTCTCAAGAAGTGAAACCTAACTCCAATGTGCTTGCATCTGCCGTGGAAGACTGGATTCCTGGACAGCTTAATTGTTGAGGTGTTGTCGCATAGAATGACTGTACTTCCGTTCACTTCATGTCCCAGCTCCATCAATACTCTCTTAAACCAGATTGCTTGACAAGCACATACTGAGGCTGCCACATACTCTGCCTCTGTTGAGGATAATGTAACTATGGGCTGCTTCTTTGAGGACCAGGCGACTGCAGCTCCATTCATTACAAACACATACCCTGATGTGCTTTTCCTACTATCAATGTCTCCAGCAAAGTCACTGTCTGTGTAGACCAACAGCTCTCCACTTCCTCCTTTCTCGTACCAGATACCAAGCTCCATCGTCCCCTTTAAATATCTCAGAACCCTCTTTGCTGCCTGCAGATGAAGCTTTGTAGGTTTAGCCATGAAACGACTTAGAAGACTCACTGAGAACTGTATGTCTGACCTAGTTGTCGTGATGTACATCAAGCTTCCAATGATCTGCTTGTAAAGTGTTTCATCTACTTGCTCTCCTTCTTCATCTTTCTCTAACTTGTTTCCAGGGATCATTGGGTTGTTCACAGCATGACACTCCTCCATATCAAAACGCTTCAGGATCTCAAGAGCATACTTTGACTGAGATATGTGAATTCCATTTGATGCCTGCACCACTTCAATGCCGAGAAAGTATCTCATCTTCCCAAGGTCAGTCATATCAAACTCTCTCTGCATTGAAGTCTTGAACTTCTCCATCATCATCTCATCATTTCCAGTGTATATAAGATCATCAACATATACACTAACAATCAGAACATTACCTTGCTTGTTTGTTTTCAGGAACAATGTTTCTTCATTCTCAGACTTTGTGAAACCTTCTTTGAAGAAATACTCTTCTATCCTGCTGAACCAAGCTCTCGGCGCTTGCTTTAAGCCGTAGAGAGCCTTGTGAAGCTTATAAACCTTTTCTTCATGTCCCTCTGTTACATAGCCCTTAGGTTGTTGGATATAAACCTCCTCAGCAAGTACCCCATGAAGAAACGCTGATTTAACATCTAACTGATAGATGTTCCACTTTCTCTGAGCAGCTGTAGCTAAGATCGTTCTGATGGTGTCCATCCTAGCCACTGGTGCATACACTTCAGTGTAATCTATCCCTTGTTCTTGAGAATACCCCTTGGCCACCAAACGAGCCTTATACTTGCTTACTTTACCATTCTCATCGAGTTTGGTTTTGTAAATCCATTTGACCCCAATGCACTTTGCTCCATCTGGTAGAGTTACAAGCTCCCAAGTCTGATTTCTTTCAATGGAGTTTATCTCACTGTCCATAGCATCTCTCCACTTTAGACTCTTCTCAGCTTCTTCAAAGGTTAAGGGGTCAGATGAGTTGAGCTCCACCATGTTGACCTCGCATTCTCCTTCTTCTGCCGTGATGACAAAGCCAGTAACGTAGTCATCAAGGTATCGTGGAGGTCTTGTTCTTCGTCCCTCCCTTACTTCTGCAACTGGTGCATTTTGAGCTTCTCCTGCAGCTACTTCTGGTGGCTCAGTTTCATCATTTTGTTCTGGTTCTCCAACAGAATTGTTGTCCTCACCACCTTCTTCTTCACTCTCTTCTATCTCCACATCGCTTTCATTCCAAGTTAACTCTGCGTCACTGTGATGATCTTGATCTTTATTCCAGTTCCAACCCTTCTTCTCTTCAAATACTACATCCCGACTCACTATGATCTTCTTGGTTTGTGGGTTGTACAACCTGTAACCCTTAGACTCCTCTGAGAACCCAAGTAAGATGCAAGTAAAACTCTTATCATCAAGCTTTCTTCTTCTCTCATCTGAGACATGAACATGTCCAAGACTTCCCCAAACTCTGAAATGCTCCACATTAGGTTTGATTCCACTCCAGGATTCTTGTGGAGTCATGTCCTTTACAGCCACAGTGGGACACCGGTTGAGGACATAACATGTCCAGTTCACTGCTTCAGCCCAAAAGGTTTTTGGTACTCCTCTTGTTGAGAGCAAAGATCTTACCATGTTCATCACTGTGCGATTCTTTCTCTCGGCGACACCGTTCTGTTGAGGAGTATAGGAAGTGGTCAATTGTCTCCTTATCCCTTGCTCCTTGCAGTAGTCACTGAACTCATGAGAAGTGTACTCTCCACCTCTGTCAGTCCTTAAGCATTTTATGTGCTTTCCGGTTTCAGTCTCAACTTTCTTCTTGAACAACTTGAACTCACTGAAAGCTTCTGATTTTTCTTTGAGGAAATACACCCACGCTTTCCTGCTGTAGTCGTCAATGAAACAGAGTATGTATCTCTTTCCACTTGCGGTCATGGGGCTGATGGGACCACAGATATCAGAATGTATGAGCTCAAGTGTTTCCTTAGCTCTCCACATACTCTTTTTAGGGATTGAGTTCCTCTGCTGCTTTCCCACCAAGCAATCTGTGCAAGTGAATTTCTGAGCATCAAATGTGGGAAGACCACTCACCATCTCTCTGCTCTGGAGTGTCTTCATCCCTCGGTGTTAAGGTGACCGTACCTCTCATGCCACAACTTAGGTATGTCATCTGTGACCACTTGAAGACATTGTTGTTTGTGTTTTCCATCGTTGGTTGTTTCATCACGTAGTATGAACATCCGGTTTGTGCTCATGTGACTTTCTCCTATCAGACCTCGTTCTTCATGGTACAGCTTACAGACTCCCTTTTGTATGATGACTGTTATCTTTCTTTCTTGGAGTTGTCCGAGGCTTAGCAGATTGTTTTTGAGTTCTGGAACGTAGTAGACTTCACTGATCGTGTACACTGCCCTGTTCAGAGTAAGTCTCACGTTCCCTTTTCCTACGACTTCCAATCTTTTGTCATTACCCAGCTTGACTGAGTGTTTAAACTTGCTGTCCATTGTCAGGAACAATTCTTTGTCCCCACTCATGTGGTTTGAGCAACCTGAATCAAGGAACCACGCCCTTCTCTTTTGTTTCTCAGCTCGTGTCATCAGCATCTGCTCTGCATCGTCCTTGCTAGTCTCATCTTCTTCACCATCAGTTTCAATACGTGCCATCAGTAGCATCTCCTCATCATCGTCTGCATAGTTGGCTTCTTCATCCCACTTTGGACATTCATTTTGGAAATGTCCCAAGCGATGGCACTTGTAGCATTCCACAGTGCTTTTGTTGAAAGGTGTTCTGCCTCTGCCTCGTCCCCTACCTCTGCCTGAGACACCTCTGCCTCTGGATCCAGTGCCTCTTCCATGTGTGATCTTCAACACTTGATCATCATCTTTCTCTACCTTCTTGAATTTCTGTTCGTGTACCAGTAAGGAACTCTGCAATTCATCCAATGACATGCTCCCAATGTCTTTGGATTCCTCAATGGACACCACCACATACATGAATTTCTCACTAAGTGTTCTGAGAATCTTCTCAACCACCTTTGAGTCGGTCATGATTTCCCCATTAGTTTGCATCTGGTTTGTGATAGCAAGCACACATTTGAAGTATTCTTCAACACTCTCAGCCTCTTTCATTTCCAAGACTTCAAAATCTCTCCTCAGTTTCTGCAACAATGACCTCTTCACTCGAGCATTGCCACCAAACTTTGCTTTCATCGAATCCCATATGATCTTGGAGGTTCTTCTGTCCAAGATCTGTTCACACGTAACTCTATCGATGCTTTGATAGAGGTAGTGTTTCACCTTGTGATCGTTTGTCTTGCTGTTCTCCAATTGCAGGCTTTGTTCTGCAGTCAGCACCGTCACATCCACTGGTTCCTCCACACCGGTTTCAATCAAACTCCACAATCCTTTTGCTCGAAAGAAGTTCTCCATAACTTCACTCCAATGGTCCCAATGTCCATCGGACTGCGGCAGTTTCATCTTGTCATCTCCCATCTTTTCTTTTCTCCTTTAACAGAGCTCTGATACCAATTTGTAAGATCAATTGCTCTGAGTTTCTGAATAATACGCTAGTTTCATTGATAAGAAGAAGATGACTATATATAGTCTTACATGAAAACATAGATCCTAAAATAAAGCAACTACATCACTAAACAAACGTGATCCTAAAATTACGTTAAACACTAACCATGAGCAATAACAGAAACAAATAACTTAAGACTAATTCAAACTNGAATAATACGCTAGTTTCATTGATAAGAAGAAGATGACTATATATAGTCTTACATGAAAACATAGATCCTAAAATAAAGCAACTACATCACTAAACAAACGTGATCCTAAAATTACGTTAAACACTAACCATGAGCAATAACAGAAACAAATAACTTAAGACTAATTCAAACTAGCTTCCTAGACTTCAAACTTCCAACGGCTTCTTTGATTTGCTCCAACATGTGGAGTGTCTCACGAATATTACTTGTCATGTTTGCATCTCCATATAGTTGTAGACTAGTATATCACGAATAAAACAACACAAAGGACGGATTTAGCTGGTATCAAACTTTCACGACCAGAAGAATACATAGGAATACCACCAAGTCAACGTAACTTCCTAGTAGTTAAGTTTTGTGTCATAGAATAAACAAAGTGGTTTCGTGGTGTAGTTGGTTATCACGTCAGTCTAACACACTGAAGGTCTCCGGTTCGAACCCGGGCGAAGCCAAAATCTTTTTATCTCGAGATTTTTCAACGTTATTTAATAAAATAAAATATAAAAAATCGCCGTTGCCGGGGATCGAACCCGGGTCACCCGCGTGACAGGCGGGAATACTTACCACTATACTACAACGACATTGTTGTTAAACACAGCGTAGTTAAACAATATAATAATAAGTTAATAAGATAATTGTAGTCTCAATATTTTAGTTAACGAAAGATAATTACTTGTTCGCTTTCAGTTTGCGCCGCGCTCTCTCCCTTCCCTCTCTTAAAGTTTCAGGTGAAGCTTTCCTCTTTACATCGCACACTTTTTACTCCTAAGCTTTGTCCGGTTTGTTGTTTCAATCGACAGCACTTACTTGTCGAATTTATCCTAGACTAGTATTAAGATTAAATCGTGTCTAGCCGGCGTCTATTAGTTTTAATTTCGTCGAGGGCCTTGTTGATTACTTTATTTCTAAAGTTTAATCATTGAACATGCTACGTTCTAGGGTTTGGTTCACTATCACATCAATTTGAGAAAATGTTTTTTTATCATTTGAATCAGCCAAGGGTTGAATAAAGAGTGTTCAAAAAAGAAAAAGGGGTTTAACACTGAGGGAGGAGAGCGTAAAGGATGAAGCTTGACGTGAATGTGTTGAGATATCTCTCCAAAGATGATTTTAGAGTTCTCACTGCTGTCGAGATGGGAATGAGAAACGTCTGTCTTCTCTTCTCTATTCCTTTCTCTTATATCCTGGACTTGTAGTTTAGGGTCTATTGACTGTAGTATCAACGTTTGACTTCTTTGAAACTACTTTGTTGTTGTATTATTATTACTTTTTGAGTTTCTCTGAAACTACTTTGTTGTGTCTCGTATTTGCAGCATGAGATTGTTCCTTCTGAGCTTGTAGATCGCATTGCTGGTCTTAAGTATGCCCTCCATCTTGATGCTTTGAATGCTTCCTTTATTCTTTCATGAAAACTTGTTGTGATGAAGCATATTGTGTAATTTGCACAGACATGGAGGCACATATAAAGTCCTTAAGAACTGTTGAGATAAGCTTGAAGGATAAAGCTTGAAGAGAAAGTTAAGGAAACCTAATCCTACCGAGATATGGAAACATGATAAACATCAAAGTTAGGAGTTATCTACTTGTATTGTTTATTATGATTAGGATTAGCAAACTCTATATAAGGATGTCGAGTTATGACATTAAAGGTGTGAGAGTTTTGTTTTGAAGAACTTNAAACATGATAAACATCAAAGTTAGGAGTTATCTACTTGTATTGTTTATTATGATTAGGATTAGCAAACTCTATATAAGGATGTCGAGTTATGACATTAAAGGTGTGAGAGTTTTGTTTTGAAGAACTTGAGTTTTGAGCTAAGTTTCTCAGGTTAATAATAAGAGAGATATTCTTATTTGTGTCTTTCAAGTTCTATAATTGGTATCAGAGCTTGAAGGGAAACATGGGAGATATTACAGTTGTTCCTAAAGAAAAGGATGGCAAGTCCTCGTCAATCAAAGTTCCGATGTTGAACTCAACTAACTACACCGTATGGGCTATTCGGATGAGAAATCTGCTGAAGGTTCATAAGGTCTGGAGTCATGTTGAGACAGCAACGGAGGATGAAGAGAAGAACGAAGAAGCCATCAGTTTGCTATTCCAAGGAATACCTGAAAGTCTAGTGTTACAAGTCGGGGAGTTGCAGACCGCAAAGAAGGTGTGGGACGCAATCCAAGCAAGGCATGTGGGTGCAGAACGTGTCAAGGAGGCCAGATTACAAACATTAATGGCTGAGTTTGACAAGTTGGCGATGAAGGAAGCTGATAAGATAGATGACTTTGCTGGCAAGTTATCTGAGATATCTTCAAAGAGTGCTGCCCTAGGAGAAGAAATCAAAGAATCAAAGCTGGTCAAGAAATTTCTGAAGAGTCTTCCTCGAAAGAAATACATACAAATAGTGGCGACACTGGAACAAGTATTGGATCTCAAAACAACTAGCTTTGAGGACATAGTTGGTCGCCTGAAAGCTTATGAAGATAGGGTAACCGAAGAAGAAGAGACCAGTGAGGACCAGGGGAAGTTGATGTATAGTAACGCGGACTCTAACTACACGCGTGAGAACTATGATGAAAACAGAGGAAGTAGAGGACGAGGTGGACGATTCAGCAGGGGAAGAGGCAGAGGACGCCAGTCTGGAGGCAGAGACACATCAAGAATCATCTGCTTCAGGTGTGACAAGATGGGGCATTATGCCTCTACATGTCCAGATCGTTTACTCAAACTACAAGAGGCTCAGGAGCAAGAGAGGGATAATACACAGAATGCAGACGAACTTATGCTACATGAAATAGTGTACCTAAACGAAGACAAGGTGGTTCCTAGTAGGTTTGAGACCAACGACGATCAATCAGACATGTGGTACTTGGACAACGGAGCCAGTAACCACATGACTGGAGAAAGACGCTACTTCACAAGCTTAAACGAGTCAATCACTGGAAAAGTTAAATTTGGAGATGATTCAAGGATTGACATTAAAGGAAAGGGCTCCATTGAGTTCATTGATAGGAACGGAGAAGCAAGAACCATGAGAGACGTTTACTATATTCCAGACCTCAAAAGTAGTATCATCAGCCTCGGCCAAGCAACTGAGGCTGGATGTGATGTACACCTCAAAGGAGAGACCTTAACTATGCGTGATCAACATGGAAAACTCCTAGTAAAGACCATAAGATCACAGAACCGACTCTACAAAGTGAAGATGGGGATAAGAGATAACGTGTGTTTGCTAACAACAGAGACCAGCAACTTAATAAGGTGGCATGCGAGATTGGGGCACATAAACTTCGAGACAATGAAGTCTATGGTACAAAAGGAACTCGTGGTTGGAATTCCACAGATCAATGGAGAGAAGAGAGTATGTGGATCATGCCTATTGGGAAAACAAACACGCCACGTCTTTCCACAAGCAACATCATACCGGGCACAGGAAGTACTAGAACTAGTTCATGGAGACTTATGCGGACCTATAACTCCGAGTACACCATCTCAAAACAAGTACATATTTGTACTTGTAGATGACCATTCCCGATACATGTGGACGATACTACTAAAGGAGAAAAGTGAAGCTTTCATCAAGTTCAAAAGGTTCAAGGAGATGGTTGAGCAAGAGTCAAAGAAGAGAATGCAAATGTTCAGAACGGACAGAGGAGGTGAGTTTGTCTCACAGGAGTTCGACGAGTTTTGTGGAAAATCAGGAATAAAACGACACTTGACGGCTCCATACTCGCCTCAACAAAATGGAGTTGTTGAGAGACGAAACAGAACCATGATGGAGATGACTCGCAGTCTGCTAAAACATCTCAAATTGCCCAACTACTTATGGGGAGAAGCAGTGAGACACTCAACTTATCTCCTAAATCGTGTGGCTACTAGGTCCCTCAAGGATATAACACCATATGAAGCTTACCGAGGCAACAAACCCAACATGAGCCACATACGTATTTTTGGATGTCTTGGTTATGCAAAGATTGTAAAACCTCATCTAAAGAAACTTGAAGACAGATCGCGAGTGCTTGTACATTTGGGAACTGAACCGGGGTCGAAAGCCTATAGAATGTATGATCCTCAGACACAAAGAATTGTGGTAAGCAGGGATGTTGTTTTTGATGAAAGTAAAGGTTGGAATTGGAACCATGAGAACTCGGAACAGAGCAGTGAGGGTTGTG